ACTGAAACATAATTAAAAAAATAAAATGGCAATCAACAATCACTTGAAATGTAAATGTACTGAAAATTCCAATCTAAAGACCTAGGGTAGCTGAATGAATAATAAAACAAGAGATACACACACACATATATATATGTTGTCTACAAGAGACCCACCTCAGAATGAAAGACACACACTGACTGAAAGTAAAGAGATGGAAAAAAAAAAATCATGCAAATGGAAACAACAACAACAAAAAAAGTGGGGTAATAATACTTATATCAGACAAAATAGACTTTAAAACAAACACTATAATAAGAGACAAAGAAGAATATTACATAATGATAAAGGGATCAATACAACAAGAGATATAATCCTTGTAAAAACTTATGCACCCAAGATAGGAGCATCTAAATATATAACACAAATATTGATGGACACAAACAAAGAGACTGAATAATACAGTCATAGTAGGGAGATTTTAACACCATACTGGCATCAATGGATAGATCATCCACTACAAATCAACAAGGAAACAGTGGCCTTAAATGATATACTAGACCAGATAAATTTAATTGATATTTTCAGATCATTTAACCCCAAAGCATCAGAATATACATGCTTTTCAAGTGCACATATTCTCAAGAATAGACCACATGTTAGACCACAAAACAACCACAACAGTATGAAACTAGGAATTAATTGCAAGAAAAAAACTGAAAAATGCACGAACACATGGAGGCTAAATAACATGTTACTAAACAACAAATGGGTTGAAAATGAGATCAATGAAGAAATAAAAATAATTCCACGAGACAAAAGAAAATGAATACACAACAACCCCAAATCTGTGGAACACAACAAAAGCTTTCCTAAGAGGAAAATTCATAGCAATTCAGGCCTACCTCAAGAAACAAACAAAAAAACAAACAAAACTCAAATAAACAATCTAACCTTACATCTAAAGAAACTATAAAAAGAATACCAAAGAAAGCCCAAAGAGAGTAGAAGAAAAGAAATAATACAAATCACAGCCAAAATAAACAAATTAGCATCTGAAAAAAACAATACAAAAGGTAATAAAAACCAAGAACTGGTTCTTTGAAAAGATAAGTAAGAGTGATAAACTCTTAAGGAGACTCATCAAGAGAAAAGAGAGAGAGGACCCAAATAAATGAAATCAGAAATGAAAGAGAAGTAACAACTGACACTACAGACTATAAAAAAATATTACAAACAACTTGGAAAATCTGAAAGAAATGGATAAATCTCTAAAAACATACAATCTTCCAAAGCTGAATTAAAAAGAAACAGAAAATCTGAACAGACTGGTTACCACTAGTGAAACTGAAAATGTAATTAAAAAACTCCCAACAAACAGAAGTCCTGGACAAGATGGCTTTGCAGGTGAATTTTACCAAACATTCAAAAAGAACTAACACCTATCCTTTTCAAACTATCACAAAAAATTTGAGAGAAGGGAAAACTCTCAAGCCCATTTTATAAGGCCAGTATTATACTCATTCTAAAACCAGATAAAGACACTACAAAGAAAGAAAATTGTAGGCCAATATCCCCGATAAACATACAAACAAAATCCTCAACAAAATATCAGCAAACCAAATTTAGCAATATAGTAAAAAGACCATACAGCATTATCAAGTAGGATTTATTCTGGGGATGCCAGGCTGGCATAATATCCACAAATCAATTAGCATGACAAACCACATAAAAAATAAAAATGAAAAAATCCTATGATAATATCAATAGATGCAGAAAAGGCATTTGACAAAATCCAGCATCCATTTATGATGAAAACTCTCAGCAACATGGGAATAGAGGAAACATACCTCAATGTAAAAAAGGCCATATATGACAAATCTGTAGCTAACATCATAGTGAATGGGCAAAAACTAAAAGTGTTTCCCTTAAGATCAGGGACAAGACATAGATGTCTACTTTCACAACTCTTATTCAACATAGTACTGGAAGTCTTAGCCACAGCGATCAGACAAGAAGAAGAAATAAAAGGCATCCAAACTGGAAAGGAGGAAGCAAAACTGTCATTATAGGCAGATGACATGATACTGTATACAGAAACCCTAAACAGTCTACCAAAAAACTACTGAAACTGATAAATGAATTCAGTAAAGTAGTAGGACACAAAATAAATATTCACAATCAGTTGCATATCCATACACCAATAATGAACTATCAGAAAGAAAAACTAAGGAAACAATCCCATTTATAATTGCCTCAAAGAAAAATAAAATACCTTAGAATAAATTTAACCAAGAAGGTAAAAGATCTGTACTAACAAAACTGTCAGACACTGAAGAAAGAAAATGAAGAAGGTACAAATAAATGGAAACATATACTGTGCTCATGGGTAGAAAGAATTAACATGATTAAAATATCCATTCTACCCAAAGCGAGCTATAGATTCAGTGCAATTCCAATCAAAATACTGATGGCGTTTTTCACGTAACTAGAACAAAATGCAAACATTTATATAGAACCACAAAAGACTCTGAATAGCCACAGCAATCTTGAGACTGAAGAACAAAGTTGGAGGAATCATGCTACCTGATATTAAACTATACTACAAGGCTATAGTAATAAAAAAAGCATGGTCCTGGCATAAAAACAGACACATAGATCAATGGACCAGAATAGAGAGCCCAGAAATAAACCCACGCCTATATAACCAATTAATACTATACAAAGAAGGCAAGAACGTATAGGTAAAGACAGTCTATTCAATGGATGCTGTTGAGAAAATTGGATAGAAACACATGCAAAAAATGAAATCAGACCGCCCTTTTACACCATATACAAGAATGAATTCAAAATGGATTAAAGACTTAAATACAGGGTGTCCCCACAAAAATGTATACATACTTTAATAGCTGATAGCTCAATTGATGTTTCTTTCTTTTTAGATTTAACCCACTGGAATTAATAATGGCAGTCAGTGTGTATACATTTTTGGGGGGGAAGCCTTGTATAAGACCTGAAGCAATAAAACTCCTAGAAAAAAAATCAGCAGTAAAATGTCTGACATTTCTATTAACAATATTTCTTCTGACATATCTCCTCAGACAAGGGAAACAAAAGGAAAAAATAAACAAATGGGACTACATCAAACCATAAAGCTTTGCACAGCAAAAGAAACCACCAACAAAACAAAAAGACAACGTACGCACTAAATGGATGAAGATATTCACCAATGATACATTCGATAAGGGGTTCATATCCAAAATTTGTATAGAACTCATACACTCAACACCAATAAAACAAACAATTCAATTAAAAAATGGGCGCAGGAGACCTGAATAGACACTTATCCAAAGAGGACCTACAGATGGGTAATAAACATATGAAAAAATACTCCATGTTTCTAATCATCAGAATAATAAAAATTAAAACCACATGGAGATATAACTCATACCTGTCAGAATGGCTCTCATCAATAAATCAATAAATTGCAAGTGTTGGTGAGTATGTGGAGAAAAAGGAACTCTTGTGCATGGCTGGTGGGCATGGAGATTGGTACGACCACTATGGAAAACAGTCGGAGGTTTCTCTAAAACTTAAACATGGAATTGCTTCATGACCCAGTGATTCCACTTCTGGGTACATATCCAAAGAAACTCCAAACACTAATTCAGAAGAATATATGCACCCCTATGTTCACTGAAGCATTATTTACAAAAGCCAACGTATGTAACCACCCCAAGTGCCCAGCTATAGACAAGTGGAAACAAAAAGCAGTGGTACATATATACAATGGAGTATTACTCGGTCATAGAAAGAGAATGACATCTTTATCATTTGGGACATTATGGATGGACCTAGAGGGTCTTATGCTAAGTAAAATAAGTGAGTCAGAGAAAGACAAACATCATATGATTTCACTTACATGTGGAATCTAAAGAATAAAATAAATGAACAAACAAAACAGAAACAGGCTTTTAGATACAGAGAACAGACTGATGGTTGCCAGAGAGGAGCAGGACTGGGGGACTGGGTAAAAAATGATAAAGGAATTAAGAAGTAAAAATTAGTAGTTACAAAAGTCACAGGGATATAAAGTACACTATAGAGAATATAGTCTATAATATTGTAATAACTATGTATGGTGCCAGGTGGGTACTGGAAATATTGGGGGGATCACTTTGTAAAGTATATGATTGTCTAACCACTACATTATACCCCTGAAACTAATAAACTCTAATTGAAAAATAAAATAAAATAAAAAAATAAAATAAAATAAAATAAACCAAAGAAAACAACAAAAATGAGGAGGGAAACCTGAGAATTTCTTTACATTTTTGCATGACTATTTGATGAAAGAATAAGTGATTTCCTCTAGAGGCAGAACTAGGTGGGTGACATTTCAGAAAGTCATATTTGGATTCAACTTGTGGTGGAACAGCCACAGAACTGGCAATTCTGTGAAATAGTTCAGCCCTTCTCCCTCCCAGCATCTAGATGGGGGGGAGGGGAGACACACACGGGACAACGTCCGACCCTCCGGCTGTATAGGCCTGCAAAATCATTTGGGCTGGCCCTGCCAAGGCAACCATTGGCGGGACTCAAAATTAAATAAATCTAGGAGCTTTTTTCATAGCTAATTTTTAAGTCGATAATTTTGCATGGCTCTCGAATGATGTTATAAATATTCAAATGGCCCTTGGCAGAAAAAAGGTTCCCTACCCCTCATCTAGATGAATACGGTGATCATATGGCCGGGACATTGAAAAGGAATTCCTCTAATGGATGAAGAGCATGAACCAAAGCATCTCTATGGGCTCTTCCAGCTCTAAGGTCACGGCTTTATTTGTTCTCTCAAGGGTCCTGTGTTAAATTAATTCAAGATACGCAACTGAAGCTGCAGAAGAATATAAACTGAAACAGATCTAACAATGATAAAGTATTTGACAGAGAATGAATATTTATTCAACAAAGAACACAAGTTACATTTACCAAAATAATGTACTTTAAGTATTTATACTTACGACAATAAAAAAATTACTCCAATAATGTGACAATGCTTCAATCAGGAGGTCTACACCTTTTAAAATTTCTTAGACACACCATCTCTGTGTTTGTCTTCATTCTATGAGAAAGCACAGATATTTTGAAATAGTTGCAGTTACTTAAAAAATTTGAGATACTGTAGTCACAGAACTTCTCCATCGTAAGACAATATTAAAAATAAATATTTGTAAATCAGCTCACTTTCCATACTATGGCACATCTTGGCAAAGCTATATATATAGGATCCCACTCACATATCAGATTATAGTCACTCCTCAAACGCCCTTAAATCGCAGAAAACTTACTACAGAAATTTAAACATAACAGATTTTTAAATCCCACATCTACAATACTTAGATGAGCACTTAGCTTTTCCCAAGCAATCTACAAACGTTAATTTCTCTTACTCAGTCAACATACACAGTTGGTCTTACTTGCATTTATCAGATGTCCTGTCAAACTCTGTAATTTCTACACCCTAACTTAAAACCACACATCTATCTAAATAAAAAGACTCAGTGCTCTTAAAATTTAGCCTACTGATTTCATTAGAAATAGTCACAAGTAAGTAATTTTTTAAGATACAGCTCAGAAAAATGGCTGAAATTCTCTGAAATTATGATATTTGTTCAATTTAGTTACTTTTATATATATTTTTTTTACCTTTGAGGATTAATAAAAGCCATTCTTAGTATCTTCTTCAAATAATCATTTGCAATAAAGTCATTATATTAATCAGTTTGAAATGTGACAACATTCTAAAACAAAATGTCTGAAAGTTACATTGGATTTATCAATTTATGTGTAAAGTCTGCTTAACAATTACTAACCAGTATCCAATTATTTTGCAGGCCAAAGAGCACAGTTAGTGTGTATGACAACCTAGCTGCAGACTAATTCATGTTTAGCACCACTGGAGCATGAGTTTCTCATTCAAAATTTACTTTTCAAAGGCTTACAGCATACGATACACAACTGCATTTATACGCAGCAAGCATGATAAAGACATGTGGCGTGTGAAACGTTTTACGTATTCTTCCACTGCACTGCATCTGTGATATGCCAGCAGAGAAATTATTGCATCATTCCAGAATGCTATTCAGCCTTGATGATACTTCTGGTGTACAATACAACTTTTAAAAAATACTGCAAATACATTTTCTATTTTAAATGCAGTATTTCTATGGAAGCAGAGAAATACAAATCTCCAACTATGGTAGTATTCTTAATCATAGTGAGAAACTACTCTAACTAGTTTGTTATAGTACTCACAGTCCATTATTCTATTATGTAACTTTAACTGATTAAAGGATATCGTACTTCAGGTTCACCATGTTTATTCCAACCAAAAATTATTTGTAAAGAACTTTTATCTTTTTAAGAATTATAAACTTTTCCTCTAATCACCTAATGCAGATTTCCTTTGATGAGTTCCTTGTCAATAAAAGAGCACATAAAAATATATTATTAATAATAATCTAATATATAGTTTCCTTGTTTCAAATCACATTCATTTATATTAATTTGTTTCATACTTATAATAAACCATCGAGATAAATATTATTTTTCACATTTTATAAACAGAAAATAAGGCAGGCCCAAAGAAGTTACTATGTCCAAGGTGACAAACCAGGAAGGAACAGAAATAACAAGAACCTAGGTCCTCAGACTCAAATCTCAAGCCTTGTCCACCAGAACACACTGTCTCATACAATCCATTTAACTAGGCCAGTCTCAGTTCTCTCAAGAGCTAAAGAAAAAGATAAATATTTAACTCTCTTCTTTAACTGCAATAGACTGGATATTTGTGTTACCCCAAATACACAGGTGAAACCTAACCCCCAATGTGATAGTATTAGGAGGTGATGCCTCTGGGAGGTGATTAGGTAATGAGGGGAAGCCCTGATGAATGGGAGTAGTGCGCCTATAAAAGGAACCCCAAAGAGCTCTCTTGCCCCCTTCTACCATGTGAGGACACAGCAGGAAGGTGGCTGTCTATCAACCAGGATGTGAGCTCTCATCAGACACAATGCACCTTGAACTTGGACTTTCTAGGCTCCAGAACTGTGAGAAATAAATATTTGTTAGGTCAGCCAACAGTTTGTCACAGCAGGCCCAACTGGTTAATTAAAATATCAATTTATCCGAACATCTGCATTGTAACTGGGCTCTATTACAATCTTTTGAAAAAACAAGGATGCACCCGGCCTGTGCTGCTCAGTGGTTGAGCATCAACCCATGAACCAGGAGGTCATGGTTCGATTCCCGGTCAGGATACATGCCCAGGTTGCTGGTTCCATCCCCAGCAGCGGGCATGCAGGAGGCAGCTGATGGAGGATTCTCTCTCATCACTGATGTTTCTATGCCTCTCTCCCTCTCCCCTCTTCTATCTAAAATCAATAAAAACATATTTTTAAAAAAAGAAAAGAAAAACAAGGATGCAAATGCACAGTTTTCTGCGATAGCTCCAGTCACGTATTATATAATCTACTTTCTCAGCTACCATTTTTTCCTACTAAACATTTTCCACTGATCTAAGATTAAATATATAAATATATAACATCTGAATTTAATGATGTATGAAAAGTCTCAAGCATTTGTATATATTAACTGATATTAATTTTTCTCACTGAAGTGCTGAACTTAAGAGCTAGAGCATAACCGTCCTTTGTCATTACAAGATTTAATACTATTTGTGTAGGAAATTTTTTCAGACCATATTATTGCAAACAATGAGGACTCAATCCAAATCAGATCTTGATTTCTAATACACAAATGCACTAAATCAGTTCAAAGAAACAATGTTAAGAGTAAAGGATTTTATGGTCCTAATCCCATTTCTTTAGCTTTTAAACCTCATTAAAAAATCATAAAAGCTTTTCAAAGCACAAGAATTCATTAGACAATCTCACCCCAAAGTCTCTAAGACTGGGACAACATTCAAGTTAGGCATCTTCCCGTTCCACTAGTCCTTATTTTACTTTGAAAGCATTTCCAAAATAACCAGTGAAAAAATAAACAAATGATGATCAGATGGTATTTAGAGTCATTAAATGCTAGGAACTGGATGGTACTTCAAAGATCCCTGTTCTTTGACCCCAGGCAGGGATATAGCTAAACAATTCAAAATGGGGTTTGTCTCCTTACTCACACTGAAAATTGATTTAAAAGTCATTTTATATCCCTTCAAAATCTTTAGTACTACTTCAAAAAGTTTCTTGGGTTTGTCATATACCTAACTAAAATTTAAATTCACCTCTTTGAGTATTCTCTCTGGGAAACAAAGCATCAGTATCCCTGATAAATTTCCTCCTATACTTTATTCTAAATAACCCCTTGAGAGGTAAAGTGATACGATTTAAGAAGTACTAATTGGTAGTTACAAAATAGTCCTGGGGATTTAAGGTCAAGCATAGGGAATATAGTCAACAATATTGTAATAAATATCTATGGTGCCAGGTGGGCACCTCAACTATTGAAGGGAACACTTTATATAACCTATATGAATATCTGCTCTGCTGTACACTTGAAACTAACACAAAATAGTGTTGAATGCAAACTGTAATAGAAAAATAATAAAGAAAGAACACCTTGAACTACTCTTCAGAGATCTGATGACAAGTACTTAAATGATCACCAGCAAGACACTTTGGTATGCCAGTTTATGTCCCTTACTAATTGTTTCAGATCTTGTCAGTATAGCAACTTTCAAACAACAAACACCCTTCCCAAATTTAGCTGTAGTTTTGAGACCTTGAAGGGAACTAAGATTTATCTAGTAAAGTGTTTCTCTTACATCAATACCAATAAAAATCACTGGAGAGCTTGTTAAAACACAAAAGAGAGGGGTAATACCCTGAGTCTCTGATTCATTAGGTCGGAAGCAGGCCCCAAGAATGTGCACGTCTAACAAATTCCTAGTTAATGTGGCTGCTGCTGGTGCAGAGACCATTTATAAGAATCACAAATAGATGACAGTGGTTCTCAATTTTGGCTTCACATTAGAATCACCTGAGGCACTATTAAAAACCCCCAAATCCAGTCCCCACTCCCGTGGAGCAATTCAATTGGTCCTGGTAAGACCAAAGTTGTTATTATTATTATTATTATTATTATTATTTTCTAAATCTCCCCAGGAGAAAGTCCACAAGATAGATTGTCAATAAAATATCTGGGAAAAGTGCCTACCTTTTAAGTCTTCCAGAAGTTTCACTAGATGTCTAGGATACTCCTCCTTCCACAAACTGCAAAAGAACAGCTATCTCCCCCATAAACCTCAGAGGCTCAGCCATGTGAGGCAGGAGAACAGTGAATCACTGAGCTGTAGAGATTTGCAGGATGGACTGAAGGAGGAGGGATTAGAAACAAGGGGGCAGCAGAAAGGCTATTTCAATCATGTGGGCCAGAAATAGTAAGGGAAAACTGTAATGCATTTGAAAAGAAAGCAAAGAATGAAAGTCACTGTAAATGAAAACTCATACCACTTGCCAACATCAGATAGAGGGATCCATGGAGAAGCAGGAGTCAAATGGATTCAGACTTTGATCCTATGCTATTATTGCAGCATCTTCCAGTTTCTAGCACCCAGTGCACAATAAATATTTGTGCACTAAAGGATTGAACATACAAATATGCAGAAGGCAGAAAACAACAGGCTCAGATGTTTAGGAAGGGTTTCTCTAAAGCCTTTCCCAGAGAGAGGCTGGAACTCATAGCATGCAGATGGGAAGGATGTTGGCTAACTGTTTTCCAAACCGTAAAGGCTTGGAAAGAAACACGGCTCTATTTCTCGTGATTCTGTGGGTGGTTCTCTGCTTCATGGCGTTGGCTGGCACAAAGATAGCTGGAAGATCCAAAATGTCCTCATTCGTCAGGCGGGGAGTGGTGCTGACTGCTGGCTGGCAACTGCCTCATGTGAGACTTCACGTGGCTGCTCGAGTGTCCTCACAGCGCAGCGGCTGGGTTCTAATATGGTGCGTTCCGAGCACCGAGGTGAAAGCTGCAGATCTGTGACGGCAGAGCCCAGAAAGCTACAGTGTCACATCCAACACATCCTACTGGTCAAAGGAGTTACACGCCAGCCCAGATCCGAGGGAGAGGAAGCAACCACCACCTTTCAATGGGAGGAGTGTCAAGGAATGTGCAGCCGTGTTTAATACACCACAGTCTAGTCTCTGTCCACGGATTTATATTCCTATTTATATGAAGCAAGCCTTCCCTCCCCCAACACACACACAAAGTTTTATCCCCACTACGGCATCAAGGTCAGGCTTCAAGTCCAGGATCTTGCCACCTAAATCAGGTCTGCGATGCTATGAGACAATACCCTTAGGATTCTTAGAGCCTTTCTGTCTAGCTGAGACAATCTAGGGGCACTGCCTTAAATCCTTTGAAATCTTAATACAAGGTCTTACAGCTGTGTCCTGGCTTTTATTTTTACCTTGAGACCAAGTGTTACTGTCAGTAGTGCTCTAGATCTGATCTTTCTTACTTCCCTTTTGCTGGGTAGAGAAGCTGGCCATGAGAAACAGTTTTATTTACAACCCTAGAAAATTCTCCTTCGGAAATATTTCCTCTAAAGTCTACTTAAAATCTGAACAGTCTCTTTTTAAATTCATCTTTGCAATACTTTCATTATAGGTGGTTAAAAAAAGAAGTTAACTGGCACTTCAATATTCTGCTGGAAAAAACCTCCTAAGCTAGATCTAAAAATTCATTAGGTTCATTTTCAATCTTCCATGTTATTATAAGGGGACTATCTTGCTGATTTTTCTCTCACTCTAAAAAAAGAAGGCTATTATTTTATATTCACCAATAGCAGTTCCCTTACTGTTCTTCCAGCCAACTTTTGTTTTTTAATCTGCATGTGAGGATATGTTTTTATTGATTTTTAGAGAGAAAGGAAGAGAAACATCAATGTGAGAGAGAAACATCGATCAGTTGCCTCTCTATGGGCCCTGACCAGTGATGGAACCTAAAACCTAGGTAAGAATCCTGACTGGAAATGGAACCTACAACCTTTTGGTGTAAGGGATGATGCTCCAACCAACTCAGACACCCGTCCAGGGCCCAGCCAACATTTAATAGCCTTCTTACTGCCCTGCAGGTCTTCACTGCCATCTGGTCTCAAAGCCGATACCAGATGTTTTGTTATGGCTGCACCGCCCTTCTAGGTACCAGTTGTTGTTTTGGCTCTTTATTGCTATGTAACAAACCATCCCAAAACTCAGCAGCTAAAATAACCATTTATCCTTTCTCATGAATCTGTGGGATGATGAGGCAGTCTGTTCCACATGGTGTTGGCTTCAGTACTGGGATGGCTGGCAGGTCCAAAACGCCTCAATCACAGAGCTGGCACTTGGGCAGGCTGCTGGCCTGAGCTCAGCTTAGGCTGATGACCAGGGGCCTGGCTGCTCCCCCACATGGCTGTGTAGGCTTTCTCACAGCAAGGCGTCTCAGTTCTAAGAAGGAACCTTTCAAGCACACGAAAGAAGCTACAAATCTCTTTAGTCCAGCCTTAGAAAGAACTCACATCGTATCTGTCACATTGGATTGGTCCCAAAAGGAAAAAGAGCCAGGTCAGATCCAAAGGCTGGGGTGGAGGGTTGGGGCACACGACAGGGTCTATCTCAGAATCGCAAAATATCTGCAGCCATCTTCGATCCCCCGTAGGAAGTTGTGAGTATTTAAGTAGTAGGTAGTGCCGGAGAAATGAATTAACTCTTTGAGGGCACGAATTTAGTGAGTGAATAACAGAACTTTTCTCCCCTAGATGATATATTAGATGAAGAACAACTACCTGACACCGAACAATAAAGGGGCATAGGGAGCGGGGTCAGTGAAATAAAGGGGAAGCAGTGTTTCTGGAGTATAAAAGTCAAGAGCTTCAAGGAAAGAATCTCACATCGTAGTCCAATAACACAGAGAAACCAAAAGAGCATGTGTGACTACCATTCTGCAGCTTCTTACCCAAAGCAGGAGAGTGGTGATGGGTCTATGAAACAATCATAAATAAGATTCTAAATATTAAGAAAATAACCCTAATCATATAAGGCACCGGGAGAAAGTTACTGAATACGACAATTGAAACCATGGGAACAATCCTAATAAAAGCTGAGTTGTTCTGAATTTTAAGGAACATTGTTTTACTTTTCCTTGTTTCTCATGGTCATGGAATACATCATGTATTTAATAAATAGATAAACAAATAAATTTTTTAAAGGTAGACTGCCATGTGCAGCACCTCATTTAGATGTGTCTGGAGTCTTGGAAGCTTGACTACCCTATGTTCTCCTACAGATGAACCTTGAGAGCTTGTTTGGAGGTTCTAGCAGGGGAGTGCAGCCACTCATATATCCTTAACTGAAGATCAGTCCCCTCTCCTCTTCCTGCTTTGGGAGAGATGCACACAGATCAGTGAGGGAGGAAGGGGACACCCATCTAGCCAGCCAGGTCAGCCGAATCAATCCTGGCGATCAATGGGGTGACAGATGTCCAGCCAGATCTCCCTCATATCCCATCATGTATTTAATTTAGATGGTAATTATATTTTTAGGAAAAGACTTCTAAGTTCTTGGATGTTTTTGGTGAACTACCAAACTAACTAGAACACATTTAAAATAAGAGAAGTTGCAGCCACGTTATTATAGTATTAGTTGTTGAGCATAAGCCACCAGTGGCTGCATAATTCTTAGAGAGAATGTATAACCTCAAACCCTTCACCACTTTCATTGTCCATAAAAATGTTTCCCTGGCCCTCACCTCCACCCCACAAAGCAAGCCATAAAACAGAACCAAACTTGGTGCCTAGGCAGTCTCTTGCGAATCACACATGCTCTCCTTTCAAATGACTCGTTGAAAACAGGGATCATCATTCCATTTGCTTCTCCTAATTCTTCCATAGGTGACCTACCTTTCACAAGACAGAATCATATGGACTATTTACTCTAGGAAGAAACCATAGAGACCAGAGTCCAACTCTTTACAAATAAGGAACCTGAAATTCATAGGTGTTCAAGTGGCTTCTCGAGGGTCAAAGGGCTTATGGCCAGGTTTCCTAATTTGAAAAGAACTGGATGGTTAGTAGTACTGATTCTGGCCATGAAGCCTAATTAATCATAGACCTTCCTAATAAAAATAAAAAAGGGTTTTGGAACATGAAGTTGTAAACATAGTCCAGAACAATTCTATGTTATAATTCTTCAACTATAATTCAAAATGAGATTTTTTTTTTTTTTGGCTCTGGAGCAGACAAACCACTGTATTCTCGAAATACTTAAAAATATGATTGACTAATCTTAACCCTTTCTCTAAAGTTAACATTTATATGCACTCAGTTATGGAGGCTAGAACTATAAAGGCGTACCAAAGAGACACGAGGCCTTGTTTCTGCTTTCATAGGATTTAGGTTCCTATTGTGGAGAGAAAACACGCATAGTTGAGAGCACCCCCATCTCGTCCTGGCACTTCAGTGTCAATATGAGTGAGATGAAGGCTAAACCTAAAAAGTACTACATTTTAGTTCCATACTAACAAAACAACCCAAGAGAATGGGTGAAACATGAATGAACAACAGCATTTGCCAAAGAGTCATCAGAACTTCAATCTGTTCATGCAACAAATATTCACAATGCCTACTAGGGGCCGGGGGCAGTTCTAAGTGGTCAGGGAAATACAGGTATGTAAGATAGACAAGACCCCTGCTCTCAGCGACCTTACTGGGTAGTAAGGAAAGAGAGACAATAACCAAATAGACAACACAATAAAATCAGAAATATCATGAAGACTTTAGATTGGACGGTCAGGGAAGGCCTCTTTAGAGGGACTGCCCCTAAAGCATAGATCTAAAGGGAGCCAGACATGTGATGATGCTGTTGGAAGATCATTCCTGGAAGGAGCCAGACGCTTAGGCTGTGTGAGGATCAGAAAGGAGGGCATTTTGCTAGAATGTCAGGAGCCTGTGGAAAGGAGGAGAATGACAGAGGGCTTGCAGCCAAGGTAGAGTTTGGATTATAAACAGTCCAGGAGTGACAGAAAAGCCACTGAAGAGTCATAAGTGGAGGAAGAGCTAATGATGATAGCTTTTAAAAATTTATAGTCGTCAATGAATCAGCAGGGAAACATGGATATACTCAAGAAGTCAAAGGACCGATATCTTCATGTAGAATACAAAGGAACAGACCTACTGTCCTCTGACTATACATTCAGAACTGGGTGACACTTTTAAGACATATTTGTATCCACAACACTAGGGAATCACACTATTTAATACAGTGTATAAATTAATCATTTATTATGTCAAAGTCAAAAGCTCTGCACATCACTAATTTCAGATTAATCTTCTACAACTATAAAACAAGAATGACATTTAGAGGAAGCAACAGAGCACAGGACTTACTTATTTCTGACTTACCTACTCTAGGAAAACAGGCCATCTACTACTTATGGAAAGACGGCAAACCAATTCTATGCATTAAAAATACTACCTTAAACAAAAATCAGAAAAATATAGACATAGAGTCATGCAGTCTAAGTCTTTCATAGACATTTATTATATTCTTTAGCTTTTTAATGTTAAAAATGACACATATCAAACACACACACACACACGCATGCACACATGCACTTCCTCATATACAAAACTAACAAAGCACAGTAAGATAACATTTTACCAAAATTTATACAGATTTAATTTTCGGTTTAATGGGTTTAAAAACATCAAAAGGATTTTACTCAAACCATTTATAAAAATAGTGATTTTTTTTTTTTTACATACTAAGTATTCAGTATTTGTTTGCCTCAAGCTACCAATGTAATAGTAATTATCTTTACCATGTGTTCACAATTCAGAATGTTAATCTTACCCTATGAATGCTGGTCAACTGGAAACTCTGCAATTAGTTTCTCTCTGAAAAATTCCTAAAGAGAAATCATAAACATATTGTTATATTTTATGCATCACAGGACTCCAACACAATTTATCAATTTATATAGTTCTAAAATTTTCAACATCTATAACAACTTTATAAAACATACAAAAGGTAACTTTAAAAAAAAGTGAGTGTTGTTAAAGAGATCATCTTCTGATCTCTCACAAAAGGCGTTAATTAGTACCCAGGGAAAGAAACAAATCACTGTCACAAATTACAGACTTAATCTCAATCACCATGGCAATTTATAGAGTGTAAAATAGGAACATTAAATTTTTCGTGAAAAATGAGATAAGCATTATATCTGTGGCACTGCTCATTTCATAAATAAAAGATAGAAAAACCCACGGAAAACATCTATGCTTCTTACAGAAAACAGGAAAATATGGGGGTAGGGGAGAAATATTTAGTATTTGAGATTGGTTTCTCCTTCCAGGTTTTTTGTGTGTTTTGTTTTGTTTAATGTTTGCTGGACTGCAGTTTTACACAATTGTGCCACTGTACAATTCAATTGCACAACACTGAGGTCTTCTTTGCCTCACCATTTATCACTGGTTTTGTTGATGTTGTTATAGTTTCTCTAAACATACTTCATACATGGGTACGTCACAGTTTACAAAACCACTTTGCTATGAAATATTAGATTTTTTTCTTTTGATTACTAATAATGCTGTAAACATCTCTGCACTCTGTTCATATGATTTCCTTTGCACAGCCTTCGAAAAGTGAGAGTAATGGATCAAAGAGCATAAATATTTTAAGGCCTCTGATATGTAACATCAAATTATTTCCCAAAACAGTTATGCTCATTTTCTTTCCTGTAAACAATATATGAGAACTCTCACCAGATGTGAGAATCAACATTTAAAAAGCACACAACTTCACTAATTCCATGAAAAAATGATTTTATTATTGCTTTATTTTGCATTTCTTTGATGAACTGGAGTTGAACGCTTTCCAGTATATTTTATTAACAAGTTTCATTCCTTTTTTCTATTTCTTCACCTAAACCAGAGGAATATTTTGCTGAGGAGATATAGATGTATAACTTAATGAAAGCTCTCTCATAACGACAACTAGTCATCTCAGAGTGCATCCACTGCAGTCAAGTAAAAAGAAGAACAAAATGTAGTTCAGTTTCTTTATCCAGGCTAACGCCAAATCACTCTAATTTTAGAAACCATAGCAGAAGTTATCGCCTTTCTTCCTCCCCAGCAGCAAGCAAAAGTACAAGCTGGAAGGATGAGAGGGCAAAAATACTAAATGCAATGCTTCTTAGAACAGAACAGCCCATGTTAGGCAGGATGAAAACAGGCCTGGGCTCACTGTGATTCTGCAGACCCAGCTGCCCAGATAGCATCAGTGGCTTCTCCAGTTTGCTATGCTAATGAGTGTTACGAAACTGGCATTACCTACTCCCTCAAGGACATTCTCTTTCCCAAGCAGCAGGACATGTATTTTCACCTAAAAAGTCAATTCCAGAAAGTCATCTCCAAATCTGGAAGACAAGCAAAACACTGAGAATCCCCTTTCTCAAGTAAGAGCTCCTTTCCAGAAGGTTCCCTAAAAGAGATTCATAAGGGAATACTCCCCAGTGACTATGGATCAGGGAACAATAGGCGCAATCAGCCTTTTTGACAGGAAAACAAAGGCCCCAAGGTTTTGACCTTGAAAACTGAGAAGTCTGAATGCCCTTATTTCCTGCTTGTCTGTAGAAATAATGGAGACTGACAAAACAAATGTTTAGTAGTAAAGCAAAAAACCAAAATTTTGGAATCTGAGAATGGCTTTCCATTGGGTGAGTTTGTCTTTTAGTGATAAATTAAATAAAATTTTTAAATTTAAGATTTAGCAAGAAGTCCAGAAGCTCCTCACAGTCACTTGACGTCACTTTGCAGGTCATCAAATATGGCAAGAATCACTGCAATATCACACTTATTCACCTTGCTTTGTGCAAGTCCATAAGTTTAAGGCTTTTGGTGGTGTGAAATTAAAGTATCTTATTTCATCATTTGAAAGGAACAGTTCACTTTACCATCTGTCCCACCCTGGGATCATCTCCATGAATCACTTCCGTGAGTACCCTGACTGACCTCCAGAGGCTGAATCCCCTGCTCTTCCATCTCTGTCCCTAGAGCACTTTACTAATAGTTTTCTCACACTGTGTGACAGTCTGTCATAAGCTATTGCCCCTGGTTCCTTGAAGCCTGGGGCAGTATCCCCAGGACCTAACCCAGTGTCTCTTCCCAGTGCTAGATGATGGCCTGGCTATCCCAGTGGCATCCATGCACAGATTCATCAATGGGGTGCTGAAAACATCTCTGGAAACTTAACTAGATTAAACAAAAATGGTATCTACCAGAACTCTCAGGGATTGTACAGAATGTGGTTAGAAGGAAAGATAAGGATTCTGCTATTTTCCTTCTGGTCAGTTGAGATCCTGGGAACGGGCAGAGGGGGAACCAGAGGGCCTCTTTGGCGACTCTCCCCCCTCTCGTAGAGCGCTTGTGTTCTCCTCTTAAAAATGTCATGAACAAGTATTTAAAGAATAACAGTCTGAAGTGACATCAGATCACTAGGCTGCCCAGGGTAACAAGTTATTAGCTCACCTAGAGTGAACCCATATGTAGTCCTAACCCTGTCCTCACCATAAAAAAAAAAATCGTAAATAATTACTGAGTGAACACATAATACCAGGTCAGGATAATACCCGGTTAGGAACCAAGGGTGTGAAGGAGGCGGCCTGGCTCTCTGAAAGATCTGAGAACACATTGGTGCATTTGCACGATGGGTCTGGAGCGGGGGGGGGGGCAAAACAAACTGGAGGGGACAGAGCTTCACACATTTCCATCACCCTAGGACAGGTACAGAGATTGAGAAGCAGAGGCCAAACCTTCACCCTACAGGAAGAAAGGAGGAAAATTCACAGTTGACAACTTCCCCACCAAACATGACATCTAACAAATCTGAACGGAGAACTGCCGTCAAACTCAGCATGACCAGCTGCTTTATAGTGATGGTGAGTCATTTTAAATCAGTGATGGACCACTGGATAAATGCCACAGCATTCCTAAATGACCTTAATATCTTATCAAATTATAATTACAGTTCTTCTCTTGTGCAAGTCAACAGTATAATGCAACAGGAATAATGCTGGAGCCAGTGGAATTATCAAGTTATTACCCAAGCAAGGATGGTGTGTACCATGCCCTGTCCACCTTCCCCCAAGACGAGGGGCTCTAGGATGGTAAGGACATTTCCTGTTTCCCAGGGCCTGCCGCATAGCAGGTGCTCTATGTGTATTATAATTCCTGAACCCTGTAAGCTATGACCAAACTGACAACACTGCATGTCCTTGGATGGTTTTAGTCTTATAAAATTAATAATTTTTGATAGTGATAACTGTAAAGATTGCTACATCTAGTATAACATATTCTTAACCCAATGACAAAAATCAAATTGCCAGTCACTGCAAATCAGCCTAAAGTTTAGATTGAGCTAATTTCTGACCATAAAACACAAAGGTTTAATGTTCACCCAGTAGTAAATGACCATTAAGCACAAAAGATGTTTAAAATGGACACTGCTGCCCACTAACCCCCAAAACATGTAATTGCTCCATACCTCACGCTTCTTCAGCACTTAGAGAGTTCTGATAGTTCTACTACACTGCCACTGAACTGCATCACAAAGAGCTGGTTAGATACCTTTCTGCCTTTCACTTTGAGCTTTTAGAAGAGTTCAGTGTTCAGGACAGGACCTAACACACACGAGACTCTCAATAATTATTTGTTGAATGGAAAAAGGTGGTGGGAGATGGAAAGGGGAAGGCTGTGATTTACTGTGTACTTAGGTAGGTATTATGATCTAAACTCTAAAGGTGAGAAAGCTGAGGAGACTGGAGAAACTAAGAAACTTGTTCAAGCTCACAAAACAAACACAGAATTCACACCAGCTCTAGGAGCCATCTGCTATACTGCCTCTCCAATGAGCTATATAAAATGGAGTTTTATATAGAATATGACATCCGTCTTTTTAAAAAATCAGCAATCTATCTTTTAGAGAGACTACAAAACACAATCTAAAAGAAAATCAGGTTGATATAGTTTTTCTAGCTCATTACTCAGTATTCCATTTTGTGAAACAGAATCAACAAGTTCTCCCTCCCTCCATCCTGCCTGCCTCTATTAATTATGATCAACATTAAGATAGCAGAGCAAGGGTGCATCCTGCCTGCACAACCTCCTACAGAGAAACATTTACCTACCAATTTAATGAAAAGAGGAATATCCGGAGTTTAATCTGTACTTATATATTGTTTTACATGGCTTTTCTTCCTGCCTTCCTATTAAAATGTGGGTCAAATAAATTAATACCATTATCGCCAAAATATAACCTTCTTTCTGAATGACTTAATAAAGGAGCATCACATGACCTCAATTTGTTGTTACTTCCAATCTGTTACTTTGTTAGGTCTAGTTCTGATCCTCAAATTCTTATGAATATTTGAGAGACCTGGAAAGAAGTGTAGCCAAATGGTTAAGATCAAATTCTGACTTTGTCATCTACCATCTGCTTGACCTTAGATAAGCTAAGTATCAATTTTCTTATCTGTAAAATAGATATTAATGAACTTGTTTCAAGAAGTAAATGAGGTAACTATAAATCAAATGCTTAGCACAGCAGCAGGTACAAAGTAAGTGCTCAAAGTGGTAATTTATCAACAGAGTAGTAACCATATCTAAAATTAATCCTTTAAATGTAAGCTTTAAAGTATTATCCTGTAAAGAGAAACTAGACTGGATGTTAGGGGGGTTGGTTCTCCACTTAAATCAGTAATTTCCACACCAGATTTTGCAATATATCACATGATTCCAGTTACTACTGCAGTGTTACAAAATATAAATGTAAATTACCCAAATTTTTAATATATGGCCCATAGGAAAGACAAATTATTGTAAAGCCAAACTAACACATAATGATACAACT